AAAAAAAAAAAAAATTCTCCAGCTTGTGTAGAACATGAGGTTCTGACCCATTGGCCTGCCCTCCTGGCTAGGATCAGGAGTCACTGGACACTGATAGGCTTTGAGTAGGGCCAGGAAAATCCAACAGGAAAAGGGGCCCCAGAAGCCTGACTAGAGGCTGTCAGTGGGACCCTGGGTCATGCTGCAGAAGGTGGCCTCAGTTTTCCCTGTCTGAAGAATGGGCTAGTGAGATGAAATAATGGTGACTGGGGAGGCAGAAGCTTGACCAAAAGCTCTTTTTAGTGAGGAAGGGGCCAGGGAAGTCAGGGGCAGACCCCACACACTCAGGATACCACTTCACCTATTCCCACACCTGTTGCCAACACATACACATTTTTTTTAGGTCCAGCTTTGAGCTAAGGACATAGACACCCCTCTTCCCGCTCCTACACAGACTGGGCCTCGGGGAAGGGCAGACTATGGTTGCCTCTGATTCTACATCTTGTTTTAGACCTGTGGTTCCCACCTCCCTCTCTTTCTACCTTCCTACATTTCTTTTAGCTGTTGGGATCTGTTTCTCGCTCACTGTCTTTCGCACATTCTTGTGTGTGTGTCTCTCTCACTCATCGAAGTGCTTTTCTCACATCCCTCTTTCGCTGTCTCCCTGTGTATTTCTCTGTGGGTCTCTCTTTGCCCACCCCCAAACCCAGGTGGAAGTTTTCAACCAAATCAAAGGCAGACAGGACAGCTGATGCCAGATGCCGCCTCTTTCAGTGCACATAGGGAGGGTGGGAAAGTCCTGAGGATGTCTGGAAATCGTTACCCCGGAGGTGGGCAGGTCTGGCAGAGGGAGAAGGCAGCCGAGAGAGTTTGAATCTTGGAGGAAAGGAGGATGTTTCTCACAGGTTTCCTGATGTGCTGGGAGGGTCTCTTCTTCTCTCCCCATCCCCCTTCTCTGAGACCCTAAAACTCCCTCTGGGCTCCTACTTCCCTTTCCCCTTCTGCCCCCTTTCTGCCCTCCTCTTTCTCTGGGTCTCCACCTTCCTCTCTATGTTTCTCTGTGTTTCTGTGCCCCTCTTGGGGTTTCTGACCCCCTCTCTGGACGTCCCTACTCCTCTGTCCCTGGGTCTCTTTTTCACTCTATCCATCCACATGTCTACAGGACCTTCATTGGTTGGGTTCAGGATGGCTGGGTTCTGTCACCTGGGGCAACAGCAACAACAAGCCTGCTTCTGCTTAGCTACCGGGTGGGGGTGGGACCATGGCCGGTTGGACCCTAGGTCTGCGCTATGGTCCCCCATGGCTCCCCATCTCTAGAACCGAGGTGCCTGGATCCTGGCCCAACTGGCATCTCACCAGCAGCAGTGTTGCCCACCACTTTATCCCACCCGTACCCTTTCCCCCGCCCACTGTGCAGGTAAGAGAACCTTAGGCTGAAGGAGGGGTCCTGGAAATCCAGAAACCTGGGTGCCAGGGACTGGAGAGGGGAAAGAGCTGGGGATCTACTGGAAGAGATCAAAGCTGGGGTGGGGGGAGCGGGTCCTGAGTCTTTTTAGCTGAAGTCCCGTGCCTTCTCCCTAGTCCACAGTCGCGGAGACCCTTCCCCCGGCCGCAAAACAGGATTCACGCATCTGGGCTTTCGACGAGGTCATCAACAGATGGGAGACAACCTCCGGCTCCGCTCTTGTGCCCAAGACCCATGGCGGGCCCTACGCGCAGCCCCGGGCTCCAGAGCCTGAGGACCCCACGCGGACTCTGGGGATCAAGGCTTTGGCAGAAAAGGTAAGGTTCTGGGGTGCCATCATCCGCGAGGGAGGCTCTTGTGCCCAAGACCCATGGCGGGCCCTACGCGCAGCCCCGGGCTCCAGAGCCTGAGGACCCCACGCGGGCTCTGGGGATCAAGGCTTTGGCAGAAAAGGTAAGGTTCTGGGGTGCCATCATCCGCGAGGGACAGGACCGGGGACTGCACCTGAGGCCCCTGTGCCCTCACATTGGGGCTCGGGGTCTCCTTCCTGCAGCTCCGACACCGTGGCTGGTGCCTCCCTCCGATCACAAAGCACCAGAGCAGCGAGACGAGTGCGCAGTACGTGGACTGGCCCGGTCTGGACCAGGGCGCCGCCTTCTACGTCGGGCCCCAGCCCCCGAAGTTTGCGGACCATCACCGTGGGGACCCTTCCCAGGTAGCGGAGTGGAAGGCGGCGCCGGCACCATGGGGCCTGAGGCGGGGGTCTTAGAGCGCCTGAGACGGGGTCTGAGGGACTCTGAGGTTAGGGACCAGGCTAGGAGACCCTGGGGCGGGGCCAGAAGGAATTTTGAATTTGAGGGCGTGGCTAAAGGGTCTGGGGCAGAATCTGGAGGTTATAGAGGCTGGGGGAGGGGCTTGGACCTGTGAGGCGGGGCCAGAAGGAGAAGCCGACTGGAAACGAAACCAGCTCTGAGGCTGCTGCTGGACAGCAGGATGGGGGACAAGGTGGGGGACAAGTCTAGGTGGCTCTCTGCCCTCGGGGGCGGGACTAGAATATTCTGAGACGGGGGTCGGGGTGGGAGTTGGGACTCAGCCTTCCTGGCGAGGAGAAGTAAAGTGGGATTGTTGCCCCAGATGCGGCTGAGCTCTAGGGGAGAGACCAAGCAGGTTTGAGACTGGGGGCGGATTTTCGTGGCTGGGAGCTTGGACTTGAGTTCCTTGACCGGGAAGAAGTATTGGAGTTTGTGGGTGAGGCTGGTACGGTTCTAATTTGGGGAGCGAGGCTGCAGTGCCCTGGCGTGGGATTGGCCAGGAGGGATTCTGATTCTGGGGCGGGGGCATGAGCGCGTGGCGCAGCTGGGCTGTCGAGGCCGAAGAAGCGGAGTCCTGAGACTGAGAGCCCGGGCCTGGAGCGGGACGGGACGCCGCTTGCCTGCTCGTCCCTCCGCTCCCCGTCTTCCTCAGGCTCCCATCCCCTGGGCGAGGAGCACCGAGCTGGCCGGCAGGGCTTTCCCAGTGTCTGGCCGGGGCGTCCTGAACCGCCGTCAGATCTACCTGAGCACCTCGGCCCAGGACTTCCGGCCCTACCCGAGGTGCGCCGGGTCCCCGCTCAGCGCCGCCCCCTGCACAGCCCCGCGGAGGCCGCCGGACGCCGAGCCCTGGTTTCGGCTCCCCGCCTCTGCCTCAGTAGTCTCGGCCATCAACTCCTGCACACACGAGTCCGTCCAAACCCCAGCCCCTACCCAGGGCTAGCACCCAGGGGTCCTTAGTGTCAGCTCTTAGGAACCTGCGGTAGGGACAGGAGACCTGCAGAGGGCCCAGGAGAGAGGGTCCGGATGTGAGGGAGGGGCCTCCTTCAGTATTTGTGCCTCCAGACCCTCCTTCCCAGGGATGTGAAAGCCCCCAGGAGTCCAGGCTGTCAGTCTCCGGTCACGTCATTCCTCAGGGGTCCCCGACTCCTACACATCTGTCCTCGCCTCGAAATCCAGGAGTTCAGGTCTGCAGTCCCTTCAGGACCGAGGTCCAGCTTTGCCCTCCCCGTCCTGCCTCCCTCCCACAGGAAGGAGCTGTCCGGATATCCCTGCAAGGACTCACTGACCTACTGGAGCTTCGAGGAGACGCCCCAGGCCTGGGGCCACGGCCCACAGCGGCCGCCCCGACCGCCGCGGACCCGCGTGTCCCGCGCCCGCCCGGTGACGCTAGCTGTGCCGCATGGCGGGGCCCTGTCTCTGGCTCAGGAATCCTACAGCCCCCCGCTGCACCCACTCGGCCGGCTCGACCGTTTCTGCCCACTGGAGGCGCCCTGGGGCGGCCCCCACTGGAAGCCCCTGCCGGGCATCTACGTTGTGCCGAAAGCCTACGGCACCGAGAACTCCCGCTACGGCAGCCTGAAGCCGGCGCTGGTCTGAGCCGGCCAGCCGCCCCCGCCCTCGGACACTGCCGCCGTGCCGTGGGGCGGAGCCGAGCCCAGAAGACCACGACTGGGGCACGCGGGGCGGAGCTGAGCTCCAGAACCTTGCCCATCACGCGGGCAAGCGCGGAGGGAAGGACAGAGCCTGGGTCACACCCACTAAGTCTACTTGCAGTGGGCGGGGCGAATGCCAGACACGCCCACTTGTTTGTGGGGTGACGGCGTAGTAAGCCCAGAAAATGGACATCGAGGCTGTGGCCCAGTGGGCGGGACGCCCCCTGCAGGACAGGAGGCGAGACTTACCCTAGTCAACAAGTTAAACAACCTAAACCACACCAATGTCTGGGGACAGCTCTGGCCTCTAGGGGGTTGGGTGTGGGGAGATGGGGCTCTGGCTGAATCCCTTGGGGGGCATCTGGGTACAAGCGGCGCCCCTCCCAGCACAGATTCTCGGCAGAGTCTAATACTGAAGCCACACTCCTCCTCCAATGTTGGACTCTAGCACAGGAACGGCGGTCTTTCAGTCTGTCTCAGGTGGAATATGGTTGAGGCTTCAACCTAGCACCTTTTGTGGATCCAAGGAGCCTCCTCCAGCCTCCCCTTGGCTCTTCCCATGATGGGCAGTGGCAGGGCTTCCTATGTCCTACTTCTTGTGCCTCCTACACGGACCAGTCTCTAGCACCCGTGGGCTGAGTCTGTGAGGTCAACTTCACCATGGTGTCTCACACTGGAGCCACTGATGTAGGGGAGTGGGCTGCTATGCTGAGCTACTCCTTCGCCTCCCTGACCTTGTCCACCTCTCACCCCCGGGGGGATTAGTGTCCAGGTTACTCTGGCATGCTGTCACCCCCAGTGGCCTTGCCGCCCCCACAGCCCACAGGTATAACAAGCCAGGTAGACAAGGTAGGAGAGGCACCGAGAATGGAGACGCTCCAGGTAAGACTGGGGACCCCTGGGCACCTTGCATCTCCAATCCAGGCCATTACTGGCATGAAGAGGGACAATTGTATGATCTGGTGGAGGCCTCTTTCTAGAAGGGTATGACAGCCAGCAGGCTTCCTGCCAGGAGGAGGGAAGTGGGTGGTGCAGTGTCTGCAGGTAGGTATCTGAAATGTGGGACATCTGGACTGTGGGGTGGGCCCTGAAGGCAGGTGCCAGGGATGGTGGTGGATGAAAGCAGGGTGGATCCTAAATGGAAGATGTCAGACAGGGCCCCTAAATGTGTGTATTTAGGGGACGGGAGACCTCAGGGCTGAGGTCTCAGGCCGGACCTGAGGCACTGGCCTTGTCCCAGGGGCTGCTTCTGTGCCTGCTGCTGAGCATGGATGAGGTGTGGGCATCCAAGGGGCCACTGCGGCCACTGTGCCGGCCCATCAATGCCACCCTGGCTGCTGAGAACGAGGCCTGCCCCATCTGCATCACCTTCACCACCAGCATCTGTGCCGGCTACTGCCCCAGCATGGTGAGCTGCCCAGGGCAGATGGATGCTGCCATCTCAGTGCCATGGTAAAAGGGCCAGACCCATAGAAATCAGGAGGTGGCAGCAGGGGTGAAAAGGTGTTTGGCACCACGGGCAGGGGCTGGGGAATTGGGGTCAGTGCTGGGTGTGTGGGAGAGAAGGTACAGAAGGAGAGCTTAGGTGAGGACCTGGCCCCAGGAAGATGCCTATTCCCCCACTCCCACGCCCTCCAGGTGCGGGTGCTGCCTGCTGCCCTGCCGCCTGTACCCCAGCCAGTGTGTACCTACCGTGAGCTGCGCTTTGCCTCTGTCCAGCTCCCTGGCTGCCCGCCTGGTGTGGACCCCATGGTCTCCTTCCCTGTGGCCCTCAGCTGCCACTGTGGGCCCTGCCGCCTCAGCAGCTCTGACTGTGGGGGTCCTAGAACCCAACCCTTGGCCTGCGATCACCCCCACCTCCCAGGACTCCTCTTCTTTTAAAGACCTCCCCAACCTCCCATGTCCACCCCAACTTCTGGAGCCAACAGATGCTCCATTCCTCCCCTCCCAATAAAGGCTTCTCAATCTGCACTCTGCGGGTGTCTTTCTCTGGGCCCAGGGCAATGACCACACACACACACACACACAAACACACATACACAATGGGTCGTTTCAAAACCACTTTATACAAAGTCACAGTGTCAGAACTCTGGTAGAAAACAGGGTAGGAGTCTGTGTGGGGGGTGACATCTAGCTCAGGAGGTGTCCATGGTTTCACCTTCTGTCGGGAGAAAGGAGACCACATGTTCAGTGTGGCCCAGAGGGCAGGGCTTGAGTTATCCTAGACCAAGCTCCCTCCTCCTCCCACCAAGGGTGACCTGGGAGCATGAGGCACAGGGTAGGGACACTCACTGAGCTCGTTGAAGAGGAAGGCATCCTGGTACTCCTTCATGTACTGTGTGGAGCGGGACTCGTCCAGAAAGAGTGAGTAGACCCGCTTGATGTCATCTACTTGCACCTCTGTGCCCTGGTAGGGGAGGGCAAGTCCTCAGTGGGGCCCCTCCCTGTGAGGCCCACTGCACACAGATCCCAGCTTACACCACCTCCATGCTCCACGCAGCAGAGGGTGGCAGTAAGGGCAGGGATTCTGGACCAGATCTCCTGGGTTCAAATCCTGCTTCGGCCACCTCCTGCTTGTGGGCTTAACCTCTCATTCCTCAGTTTCCTCATCTGTAAAACAGACTTTACAGCATCTACTTGCAGTCAACAGATAATTAGATGGAGCACCTACAGTGTGCCATGCCAGAAAATACAAAGACAAACATAAGGGCCGGCCCGTGGCTCCCTCCTGGGTTCAAATCCTGCTTCGGCCACCTCCTGCTTGTGGGCTTAACCTCTCATTCCTCAATTTCCTCATCTGTAAAACAGACTTTACAGCATCTACTTGCAGTCAACAGATAATTAGATGAAGCACCTACAGTGTGCCATGCCAGAAAATACAAAGACAAACATAAGGGCCGGCCCGTGGCTCACTTAGGAGAGTGTGGTGCTGATAACACCAAGGCCCCGGGTTCAGATCCCATATAGGGATGCCCGGTTTGCTCATTGGGTGAGCGTGGTGCTGACAACACCAAGTCAAGGGTTAAGATCCCCTTACTGGTCATCTTTAAAAAAAAAAAAAGACAAACATAAGGGATGAAATTTTCCTGACTTTGTAACTGTATAGTCTAGGACTAAATGTAACAAGCCCCTCGAAGCCCATGGAGTAGTGGGCCATTCACTCTCAATCCGGCTCTGACCTTGCGTTTCCGGCACACCAGGCTGGCAGCTGTGATGAGCTGAATAGCATAGCGCAGTGAAGTCTCCAGCCCAATGCGGGTCAGCACCGTGTAGGCGTCCTCGCTCATTTCCACATCTTCTTCCTCACACCTGCGGGCAGGTGGAGGTGGGGACTCAGCCAGGGATGGGCCTCAGTGCAGCAGCAGAAGTGGCGGCAGCCACCCCTGCCCCCTACCCCCCTGGGGAATATGTGGAGTCTGCATCTCAGAACCACAGAATGCTAGGGCTAGAAGAGCCACTGAGGCATGGGCTGGGCTGGACCTAAAACCTGGGTCTCCCAAACACCTCCATCCAGGACTCCTTCCCCACATCAGTCACTGGTGCCCACCTTCCCTCCCCAAAAGCAGCTCACAGCCCCAAATCAGAGGTCACTGTAGATGCCCTTCTCAGCCCTCTCTCTTGCAGGCCCAGCAACCCTGGGCCAGTCACACATATCAACCTAGACCTCAGTGTCTGCACTTGTCAAAGAAGGCAGACTCTCAGGCACACACTCTGGTCCTGTCCGCACCGGATGCGGAGGATCTGCTTCGTGTCCTTCTCACTGTAGGGAGAGGTGGAGACAATGAGCAGCCGGTCCAGCAGGTCGATGGGGATGCCATGGGGGCTCTGGTAGCTGGTGCCCCGGATCCTGGGGAAGAGGGGACAGGGAGGGCTGTCAGGATGATGCTCCAGAACCTGGCTCTGTGTTCCCTCTACTTGGAATACTTCTACCACCCGCCTCCACTGCAACCCACTTAACCTTCAGCTCACGGCTCACATCACGGCTCACATCACCCCCTGACGCACAGCCTTCCCCAACTGCGTCAATTCCCTGAGGGTGCCCTCCTGCAGAGCTGGGGCTGGTTTTAGCTGCTATCTTATGTCTGGGATTACTGGATCAAGGTCCCACTCCCCTGCTCAACACAAAGATCCACAGGGAAGAGACTGCGCCTGTTTTGTTCTCTGCTACATCAGGAAATACAGTCAATTCTCATTATTCACAGTAGTTATGTTCCATAAAGTCACTGTGAACACAATATTAGCAAATATCAAATCATTGCTTCTGGAGGAAATAAAGGGCTAGGTTCCTGTGAGCCTCTGGTCACAATATATAACTTTGCTAATCAATATATAACTTTGGCTTATGTGTGTTTCTACTAAAAAACACCTTAGTTAATAAATATTGTTGACTCATTAACATTGAGCTCATGGTCAACAGCACTATAACTCGTGCCTGAAAAGCTTATCTGACACATGTATTTTCTCTGTAAGGCACATCACAGCCTTCCTGCACTTAGGAACAGTACACGACACTTCAGCACTACACTTGGGGGCCATTTTGAGCAACAAAATCACCAACAAAGAGCATAAAAAAGGACAGATTTGGCACTAAATAGATCACGAAAAAGACATTTATAGTTTGAGAGCTGAAAGAAGCAGGTGCAGCATCGCCTCATTCAAGCTTAACTGGGAAAGGTGGGTATCAGATGACTTAAGTTTTGCTGTACTGTGCATGTCCACGAGTGACCGTGAAAGTGCCCCAAATATTGATTTGGGGACTACAAATACATTTTAGCAAGCAAGCAGATTCACAAATACAGAATCTGCAAAGAATGACTGACTATACTGTATTTGCTGCCTCCTCCCAGGAGATGCCCTGATTCGCAGCTACTGCCACCAGGCTCTCAACCCTGGGCGTCTCTTCCAATTCCCAGCCATTCAGAGAGCAAATTTGGCACCTTCTAGACATGAGAACTTGGGCAAGTCATAGGGCCTTGCTAGCCTGCCTCTTGAGCTTTTATTGTGGGTCCAAGGAGTTCATCCAGAAAAAGGGCCGAGCACAGAGCCAGGCAAAACTGCCCATTGTCCTAGTAGCTGTGCTCCCTTCTCTTTAGTGATACCCACCCGTACCACCCAGTTTCAGCTGGGCACATGGCTGCTGCACTAGAGATGACACTCTCCAGCCTCCCTTGTAGCCAGATAGGGCCATGTGCCTGAGCAGGGCTGAGCAGCAGGGTACAGGTGGAAGTGCTGGGTGCTGCCTCTGAATCACAGACTATCAGGGGCTGCTGTCCCTCCCTTTCCCTCCCTCTTCCTGGGGGCAAAAAGGTGAATGAGGTAAAGAGGAGAGCCAGTGGGGACAAAGGGCTGCAGGGTGTAAGCAACACCCTAGAATAGAAGTTCCCAGGTTTAATCAAAGCATAGTCCCCTTCGTGTCCAAGGAATTTTTCCACAGCATCCTTAGGCCAGAAATAACAGTAAGAGTTCCAGTGATTAAGTAGTTAGGCCTATATGACTTAAAGATCCTAGTGGTTGATGTAGTGTCTAGCAGATGTCACTGTGCTTCTCTCAAAATTAAAAACATCCAAGGGTTCAGACCCCCATATCAGCCAGCCACAAAAAAAGAACAAACAAAAACCAAAAAACAAAAAGCACCCTGGAGTGTCTTGGCACACAGTTTGGGAACTTCAGCATTAGAGGCTATAGGAGCAACAAAGCAGAAAGAACACGATCCTTAGACTTCCTTGGGGTGCAGAGCTGCCTACCCACCTACGCTGTTTAAGGGAAAAGTACACCCTTTTTGTGTGAGACACTACAGCTATGTGCGCACTATCTAACAAGGTGCTCAGCAAACATTCCCAGTTTACGCTGTGGCCACACCCACTGCCCAGATGACCCTATTTTCCCCAGAGGCCTCTGCAGCCAGCTCACCGTGTGATGCCACGGTTGGTGGCCATGATTAGGACAGGTGCCATGTCACTTTCCAGGGCCCGGTTGAGGAAGGAGAAGCTCTCGATGTCCAGCATGTGGACCTCATCAATGAACAGCACCTGGGAGCCATTGGGGCATATGTCAAACTCACTGCCTGCCCCCCTTCTTCCCCAGTCCACTCTCACCCCAGCTGCTGATCCTAGCCATGTCCTGATTACTCACTCCAGGGATGATCTCTGCCTTGCCCTCCTCCCGCCACTCAGCCACCTTGGCATTGATCTGCTCACGGACCTCTGACTTGATCTCTCCTGTGTCGCCTGAAGGAGGCAGAGGTAGCATCAGAGGAGCCACAGAGGAGAAAGGGTCCAGGGCCGGAGGGTGGGCAAATACAGAGAAAGACAGAGAAAGACAGATACTAGGGACAGAGGAAAGAGAACTTGATCTCTCCTGTGTCGCCTGAAGGAGGCAGAGGTAGCATCAGAGGAGCCACAGAGGAGAAAGGGTCCAGGGCCAGAGGGTGGGCAAATACAGAGAAAGACAGAGAAAGACAGATACTAGGGACAGAGGAAAGAGAACAAAGTGACTGGGGGGAGAGGGGACCAGGGAGTCTGAAATGTCCCCCGAGAGGAAAAATAGAGGCAGAGAACTCAGGAAGAGAGAGGGCAAGGTCGTGCTCCCACCATACCACCTGAGAGAGGGACACAGACAGTCATAGTAGGGGAGGGATGAACCAAACTCATAGATGGAGAACAGAGGCAGGGATGGAGGACCAGAGAAAAAGCAATGGGTGGGCCGTACTGAGGGAGAGAAGAAGTACAGGCAAGGGGGAGTCTGTGGGAAGCTGCCAGGCTTGGGGTGGGATAGGGCAGGAGGGGCCTCACCAGAGAAGAGGGCCAGGAAGCCCTGGGTGCGGGAGTTGATGACATCAATCTCGTGCAGGGACACGGTGTGCACCACTTCCTTGCGTTTCTGGAGCTCCCCATCAGGACACTGTACAAACTTGGTCTATGGGGAGGGAGAAGGGGGGAGGAAGATGAGGGGGCACAGAAAAGGGCATGAAGGGGGGCCCAAAGGGCTCTGTCTTGGGGAGATTGGGGCTCCCTGGAATGAAGCTTGGGGCCAAATGGGGGTTATCCAGAAACCCCAGGCCCAAGAGGTAGTAAGACTATAGGCATTCCAGAGCACCTCAGAATCCGTGGGCAACATGGGCAATGCGGAGCCATAGTGCCAGGCTGAGGGGTCCCCGCTGTCCCAGTGTTACAGGGGAGACCCAGGAGTACCAGGGACATAGGGTTGGAGTGACAGGGGGACCCAGACCCTGTGGGCCATGGGGGTGATGGAAGAGAAGGAAACATCCCGGTGCCTGGGTATAAGGGGGTCCCCAGAGTCCCAGTCGCACCTGGGAGCCCATGGCATCATAGTCACGAGCACGTGTGAAGGAGCGGCCCAGCTTGGAGATCTTGCCGGTTGCCTTGTCGATAGTGATCACATCCCTGAGGGTGGGAAGGCAGGAGTGAGGAAAGGAAGGGACCTGAGCTCCCCCTACCTCCCTGGCTACCCAGCAGGCCCCCAACTGCTTACCCGGCCTGGACCTTGTCCTTGGTCAGAGACTCAATCATCTTGGTGCCCAGGTCATAGATGGTCTCCATCTCTGTGGTCTTGAGGGTCAGCTTGCCCACTTTGGAGCCCTGAGAGAGGTGACAAGACAGGAAAGGGGCTCAGAGAGGACCCTAATGTTGCCCTGAAGCTCCCTGATAAGCTTCTGGCCCTGTTTTGGCCTCTGTTTACACAGCGTCAAAGTGGGCATGACACAAAGCTCTTGGGGCAAGGAAAGTATTCACTATCGTGATGTGGAGATGGCTTTGTGGGTGTACATGTATGTCAAAAGTTACCACACCTTCAATGTGTGCCGCTTATTGTATGTCAGTTACAATTCAATAAAGCTGTTAATCAAAACAGTAAACAAGGAAGAGGGAGGAGGGAAGGAAAAAGAAAAAACAGTAAACAAACACACATCTAAAAAATGAAGTCTATTAAAACAACACAAAATGGTCAAGGGGGTCACACTCTTGTGACCTTTTCTTGTGACACATTCCTTTTTTTTATACACAAATAAAAGGTGTTTTTCATCAATCACAAAATCAGAAAACACAGCTAAACAAAAAGGAGAAAAAAATTCCATGCCCCTCCCCACAAGATAAGCACAGTTAATGTTTTTAAGGCTTTTCCCAGGAGATCCAACTATTTCCGTTTTCTTGAATTATACCACAAACAGTTGTTCCTTTTTTTTTTTTTTAATAGATGACCGGTAAGGGGATCTCAACCCTTGGCTTGGTGTTGTCAGCACCACGCTCAGCCAGTGAGCAACCAGCCATCCCTATATGGGATCCGAACCCGTGGCCTTGGTGCTATCAGCACCGCACTCTCCCGAGTGAGCCACGGGCCGGCCCCAGTTGTTCCTTTTGTAGGAACAGAAATAGGAGATAAAATAAAAGGGCCAGGATTAGATGAGGGAGTTAAAGGGAATTTTGGGTTTATACTTTTACTGGGAGGATATATCCACAGATTTCTTGTGTGATAAAAATCTAATTTAAAGAAGTACCTTGGGAAGCTTTGCCTTTGTTTAAATATTCTCCTATCATATTCCTAAACTTCAAAATTTAATTGCCAATAGATGGAATTAATTTAGAAGGCTCTTTACAGCTGTTTAAACTGCAAGCCGATGTAGTTATGCATTTTAAATCTATTTCCATTAAAAATGAGGAGCAAATGAGAAAAGAGGGTGTCTATATGCCAAGAAACAGAAACAGAAGGTGACTAGGCATTAGGTTAATGGCCTTGCAGCACATTTTAAGTTTTCTTTTTATAACCATTTTATTAGCAGCTGTAACTTAATGTTTAAAAAAGAACTGCAAACATGGATGAACCTTGAAAACATTAAGCTGAGTGAGAGAAGCCAGACACAAAAGGCCACATACTACATGATTCCATTCACATGAGATGTCCAGAATAGGCAAATCCATACAGACAGAAAGCAGATTGGTGGATGCCAGGGGCTGGGCAGCCGGGAAACAGGAAGTGACTGTCTAATGGGTATGGGGTTTCCTTCTGGGGTGATGAAAATGTTCTAGAACTCAACAGAGCTGATGGTTGCTCGACACTGTTAATGTACTAAATGCCACAGAATTGCTCACCTTTAAATAGTTAATGGTTAATTTTATGTTGTGTGATTTTACCTCAATTGAAAAAAAAAGAGAGAGATTTACAGGTAAATTATAAAACAAGGAAAGAGGGGCTGGCCCGTTAGCTCAGTTGGTTAGAGCACAGCTTCGTAACACCAAGGTCACAGGTTCAGATCCTTGAACCAGCCAGCCGCAAAAATATAAAACTAAACTAAAATAAAATAAAACAAGGAAAGGGATGAAGGAAAAACCTCTATTAAAATAGACTTAAAAGGCATGAAATTTTAAAACTGGGCAAGACATAGCATCTAGAAATGCGCAGTTGGGTGAAAAAAACTCTGCTGAGACTCAAGAAGTGTTCATGGGTGAGGGTGGTAACTTCTGTGGGAGACATGCAGGTGTGATGCAAAGAGCTCTACATGACGAAGAGGCTCCTGGGGCTGCTGGTAAAGTCCTAGTTTTTGATCTTGGTAGTGGTTATAAGGGCATTTGCCTCATAATAATGTATTAGACAAAACACTTATCTTACATGCTTATTTATACCTGTTTTATTTTATAACAAAAAGGTTAAAAAAAACTTAGCTTAAAAAATCACATCAACATGTCTTCTCGGCGAGAAATATGCCTTTTGGGACTAAGTTGCATAAATCCCACAGAACAAATTAAGCCCAACTGTCAGGAACTTCCAGGCCTTCTCTTTTATTCCATCACCACAGTTTTAATTGCTCACAATGTGCCCCATAAACGGATAAACCTCTGTCAACTCATCTGACCCCCTACTGTAGGCATATGGATGGCTCCAATCTGCAACTGGAACACTCCATGGGAATTCTCAGAGCGGACCTGACGCCTTCTCCCTCCAGTCCTGGGGCTGGAGGAGGCCTCAGTTCAGAAGCAGACTCATATAGACTCACCGTCCCTGTTGCTGGCCGATCAATCTGGATCTCCACCACTTCCCCTTCGATGATCTCGGTCTCCTCCCTACCCAGAGAGCAGATCTGAGAACATGGCCCAAGACTTGGGCCCTCAGGAATAGTGAACTCCCATAAACTCTTGTGCAAAGGAGAAGCTGGCCAGGGCAGGGGGTCACCCCAAGGCTGCCGGGGCTGGCACCACAACCCTCACTGGACCTGTGCTTACTTGATGCGAACACCGATGGACCGCCGGAAAGCCTGTGTCAGTGCTTCTGTCTTGCTCATCTCCAGGGAGAAGATCTCACTGCCAGCAATGGCTGTGAATGGGGTGTCGGGGCCCAGGGCCTGGGCCATGCCTGGGGAAGAGGTGGTCTGGGTAGGTGGGGTGGCTCCAACACCAGTTTACCAAAACCATCTCCACGGCAAACCAACTCGTCTCCTTCCCCGGGAAAGAGAGTTCAGTGCCACCTTGTCTGTGAGGACTGGACTTCAAGCTGGATTGAGCCTTCAGGAAGGGGAGCTGGAGAGAGGGGCTGGGACTCACAGGGCAGATAGAAGATGTAGAGAAAGATGGGGAGAGCAGACTGTGCCAGGAGGCCTGGTTTAGAACTGCACACCTAGAAACTCATGAGCCTCAGCCTCCTGACTTCTAAGAGCTGTTAAGCCTCAGGGTTCAGGGGGTGAGGAGCATGAATAGAGGCCAAGGGGCTGAAAAAAGAGTTGAGTAATGGAGCCAGACTGCTTAGGTTTGAATCCTGCTCCACCACTTAGCACACTTAGTGTGGTGGTGGTGTGATCTTGAGAAGTCTCGTCTGCTCCCCCAGCCTTAGTTTCCCCTTCTGTCTAATGAGGATAAGAGAACAAGTCCTGGCACAAGACAGCACCCTGCACAGGAGTGGGGCAGGGACTCAACTGTGACTCAATTACATGGCCTGGAACCAGCCCAGGGACAAGGGCGCTCTACAGCCTGGGACCTGGGGTTGGCCAGCAGCCAATGGGCCAGTCTCCTGCAATCACCCCAGGCACTGAGCCCTCTCTCCAGCTCCCTTTCCCCAGGGCTCTGCCCAGCATAAAGCCAACTCCTTATAGACATGGTGGTGGTGAACCCTCCTGACCTGTGTAAGATGGGAACTCTTCTTGGTCCCCTTTTCAGATAAGGAGGACCAAGGGCAAGGCACGTGGCTCATCCTCTCTGGAGGCCCCAGTGCTGGATTCGGCACTCCCCTCCCCCTTTCTCTGCACAATGGCCCTTATCACAGAGCTCTGCAAGTATCTGCTGAGGACAAACAAGTGGATGAGCACTATGCCATGCCACATTGGGACACCTGTGGCCTTCTCTGCCTCTTTCACTGCACTATGAGCTTCTCCCAGGCCAGGGCCAGGCTGTACTCACTCCAGTGCTGCCCGGCGCAGAGCCTGGCCCTGGGAGGCTTCACCTGGCAGACATGAGAAGAGGAAAGGTGAAAGACTGCAAGGAAGACACTGTGTGCACCACATTCTGTGCCTGGATATCCTTCCCCTACTGTCTGTCTGGGAGACTCCCAGACACCCTACTAAGCTTAGCTCAGGTATCAACACATCTGGGAAGCTTCTCCTGACAACTGCAACCACATTCCCTCTTCCACTCCCCATTAGGGTCAGGTGCCTCCTCTGTCCTGTGCTATCTCCATGACAGCACACATCGCCCTGGAAGAGAGCATGTCACGACAACCTCCCTCAGACTGGGAGCTCATTGAAGTCAGGGCATCGATCTCACTATGTGTCCCCAGTATCTGGTACCAGGCCTGGCATACCAGAGCACCTGAATGAGAACTGCTTTATCTTAACTGAAGACTTTTTGTTACTTTGATTCTCACTACCTGGCTCCACAGTCTGAGCAGAGTTGGGAGTGAGTGGGAAGAAGGGTGGGTCAAGGAAACGTTCAGTGAGGCAGAGATGTCTGAGTAGGGTTTTGAAGGAAGGATGGGAGCTCAACAAGGAAGATGAGGGACAGTTGCAAGGGAGATCATAAATCAGTAGTGGATTGCAACAGAGAGTGCTGGTTGCCTACTTAGTGCCTATCTTCTCCTTCTTCCTTAGTTCCAGAACACTCATTTTCTTAAGGCAGCAAGAGTCCAAATTTAAAAAATTAAAAAAAAATTTTTTTAAATGTCCCAGCCTCCCTTGCAGCAGAGTGTGATCATATGAGGGGTCTTTTTCAGAAAGTTCATGGAAATATTCATATTTTTTAATTCTACTTTTCCATGAACTTCTTGAAGTTCCCTCATATGATTAAGTTTAGTCAATGAGATACAAGCAAAAGTATGTGCGATTTACAAAATGGCTGCTTAAAGGAAGCTAACTCTAGGAGGCACGCCCTCATTGCTATTCTTTATGCTGGCTGGAGTACGGGTGGGAAGGCTGGAGCCTGCATAGTCGTCTTGGAACACAAGGTGACCTTGACATGGAGGAAGTGCAGAGGATGTTGAGGCAGGAAGATAGAAGACTGTGAAATTGTTCAATAAGCCCTACATGACCTACCTCCAGATTCTTCTATGTGAGAAGATAAACCCTGAGCATTTAAGCCAATGCCATCTTGCGTTGTCTGTTAAATGTGGCTGAACCTGACCCCGACTTACACGGGAGGGATTATTTGGCAAAGACCAGGAGGGCTCCTGCCCCGTGAGGCCTCTTACCCATGGCGATAGCTGTCTTCCCTGTGCCTGGCTGGCCAGCAATGAGGACTGCCCGCCCGGCAATCTTCCCTTCCCGGATCATCTCCAGCACCACGCCAGCTGCCCGCCGGGCCGCCAGCTGCCCCACCATGCCCTGGGAAGCCTGTGGGGTGGGAGGTGAAAGAGAACATAAGGTGACTTCTTATTGGCTACCACTGCACTTCTACTACATCCCACCAGTGAGGAGAAAACAGACATCGTCAAGGTCCAGGTCCAGGGTTCAATCCCTGTATAGGTCAGCTGCCAAAAAAAAAAAAAAATCAAGCAGATGTTGTGAGCTGGGACTTCTGGTAAAAGCCAAAAAAGATTTCTCTTCTCTAATTTTTTAATATCAATAAAACTCCATCTGTGGCTGAATTTTATTAATATGTAGCCAGAGGTCTGGAAGATCATAACACAGTCCCCACACTCCCTAGGACCCTGGGCAACCCCCACCCAAGGCCTTCATGGAGTGACCCTCACACCCCAGGCTCCTCTGCTCTACCTGCCGTGGTTCCAAGGCATCGTCCAGCCCCAGTCCCCGGATGTGAGAGTGAGCACCTGTGTGAGGACAAAGAAGACCAAGTTACTGGCCAGCTCATGGCAACGTGTGGCCTGAGGGGGGCCGAGGGGGGCTTCACCTCTGAGCCCTGGTTTCCTTCTTGGTCAAATGGGTGTGTGGGGTGTGTGTGCAAATCTCTACCTTACTGGGAGGATGGCTGAACATGACAAATAATAAATGGGAGCTGCTCCTAGGGTACATCATAATTGGACTAAAATCACTGAGACCTGGTTAACCACGTAACCATACCAAGAACTAACCACTAGGACTAATGATCACAATTACTTTCTGTTCACGGCTTACACAGCACTCACAGGTTCTAATTTCATCACATGTAATGCTGTGAAACAAGAGCCCCAGCTATTATCAACCTGGGAGCATTTCTGGGGATCAGTGACAACAGTCCCGGGCCCTCATTGATATGGATGAGGGGAAAGGAGTTCAGAGATGTCAGGTCCCGGGCTGGCCCGTGGCTCACTTGGGAGAGTGCGGTGCTGATAACATCAAGGCCCCGGGTTCGGATCCCATATAGGGATGGCCGGTTGCTCACTGGCTGAGCGTGGTGCTGACAACACCAAGTCAAGGGTTGAGATCCCCTTACCGGTCATCTTTAAAAAAAAAAAAAAAAAAAAAAAAAAAAAAAAAAAAAAAAAAAAGAGATGTCAGGTCCCATTCCCCAGACCACACAGCCAGTGGGGCAGCCACCTGTTTTTGTAAAAGAAGTTTTATAGGAACACAGCCACACCCACTTATTTACATACTGTCTGTGGCTGCTTTTAGCACTGTAACAGCAGAGCTGAGTAGTCTCAACAGAGAAAAGATTTACCATCTGGCCCTTTAAGAAAAGATTTGCTGACCCCTGTGTTAGATAGTGAGCACCCCAAGGACAGCCACTGAGGGCAGCTAGTCTCCACTGGGTCGTCAGCTCCCAGCAGTGCCTGGCCCTTTAATAGATGAACAGTGTCAGCAAATGCACATTACGTGCTTTATATGGACTACCTTACTAAATCTTACATTAACCAATGAGGTAAACTATCTTAGCTCCAATTTGCAGATAAGGAAACTGAGGCACAGAGAACAACTAGCCCCCAAGCACAAAGCTTGGAAGTGGCACAGCTGAGCTCAGAGAATCCAGCAATGAGCTTCTAGAACTCACGCTTGTAGCCACAAGCCCTTTGCTGCTTCTGTTGGAGGTGCTGAATGAGTGAATCTGCTGAATGAATGAGCATAGGCCTTTCCCTGCAAATAAAGCTGTTTGTGAGAACTGTGTCCTGCTGGCCCCATTACACCTCACCTTCCTGCTTCTGGACCCATAGCTTATTACTTGCTGTGTGAGCTGGGGCCAGACACTTGGCTGCTCTGAGTGTCAGTTACCTCTGCTAAAAACAGGGCAACAGTCATAATATGCACCTCATGGGGCTACTGCAAGGATTCAAAGGGATGCAAACTAATGTGTTCAATGGTTATCTGTTGAGCATCTGCTCTGCCAGGTCCTGTACTGGGGACACAGCTAAGACTAAGTCAGACCCAGTCCCTGCCTTCAGGAAGCTCACACCCCAGTGTGTGCTGGGTGTATGGAGTGCTCAGCTCAGGGCCAACCACTGTAAACACCCAGCAAATTCCTATTTTTATGACTTCCAGGCAGGTACACCCAGGAACCTCACCAGGGTGCCAAACCAACAGCAGTGCAGCCTGGGGTGGGGGCCCGGCATGGTCCTTCATATGCCATCTGACACAACTTTGGAACTCAGAATCTTCCCCCATTGGATGGGGGAGGAAGAACAGGGGGGCTGGTGAACAGGACACCTCCCTATCCCTCTTGGGGGTCCTGGACAGGTGTTCTCAGTCAGGACACATGGCAGCCAGGGTCTGGGTCCTGTTCCTGACCCTGCTCGCTCACCTATACGCTCGATCCTCGTCACATCGCGGATCTCTGGGACTTTGGTCGTGGCTGTCTGGAGTTGCAGGAAGACAAGACAGAAGAGTCCTTGTGATCCCAGCTTTCACCAACTCTTCCTCCGCCCATCCCTTCTAGCCCTCCCACCTCCCATGAGAGTCCTTTCCACTCCTTTCGCTCACAGGCAAGGGACAGACTAAATACTAGTCACTCCCACCCCTCTCAGTTGTCACTGACTAATGGCTGGTTGGTTGACCCCACTACACTGTGAGTCCCAGGAAGACAAGAACTGTCTGTCCCTCATAGCTCTGTCCTCAAGGTCGAGCATGTATTTGGTGGCCAGGAATTATCTGGTGAATGAATGAATGAAATCCTCTCTATCCCCAACAACTGTGAGCTCCACTGGGACAGACACCAATGCAGAACAGCATTGAGCTGGATGGGGTCTGGCCCCTGCTAATTTTCCAGTGTCTCTTGTACCATGCTGCCCCAGCTCTGTGCCACCAAGCCTTGCACATGCTGACCTGCTCTCTCCATCTCCCTCACTGAAGTAGATCAAGTGTTACCCCCAACAAGGGAGACCCTCCCTGACCACTGCTCTTGACAAGTTAGTTCTAGGAACATTGGACATTCAGAGAGATAAGGGGCCTCCTTTGGGAGCCCGATTTCCCTGTGCACTCTCAAAATCACAAGGAAGACTATGGGATCAATGTTCTCAGCTCCAGTGGATGTGAATCCCATGAAGGGCACAGTCCTCATCTCTCTTGTTCACCTTGGGACTCAATGTTTGTGGTTTGAATTAATGATATAATGAAGTGTTGAGCTCATTCAACAAGCATGTATGAAGCCTCCTGTGTCTCCATTTCTCCAAAGAGAGAAGCCAGCCACCATCCCTTCTCACATGGGGGAAGACGATAAGTAAACACCACCACAGACAATTAAAGAACCTCCTGGAGATCACACAAAACACATACACAAAATGTTCACAGCAACACTATTCACAATAGCTAAAAGGTGGAAACACCCAAACGTATATCTACTGATGAATGGATAAATAAAATGTGGTCTATTAATATAATGGAATATTAGTCAGCCACAAAAAGGAATGAACTTCTGAAACATGCTAAAACATGAACTTTGAAAATATTACGTTAAATGAAAGATGCCAGACACAAAAGACCACATATATTGTATAATTCCATTTATATGAAATACCCAGAATAGGCAAATCCATAGAGATAGAAAGTAGGTTAGTGGCTGCCTAGGGCTGGGGGCAGGAGATATGCAGGGTGATAGGTAAGAGGTGTGGAGTTTCTTTTGGAGGTGATGAAATGTTCTAAAATTTATTGTGGGGATGGCTACACAACTCTGTGAATATACTAAGAGCCAGTGAATTGTATACTTGTGAATTATATCTCAATAAAGCTATTTTTAAAAATCCAGGTGGTGGATCCTTGGTGTCTGTTATATTATTTTCTGACACCTCAGAATATTTCATAGTTGTTAATAGAAAAGGGAAGCCTAAGAAGCCAGCATGCTGACCCGGCCCCTTGGCCACCTGTCTTCAACTCTCCTTCCTTCCCATAGGTCTTTCCTCTCTTCTTCCACCAGAAAGAGAGGACATGCAGGCATCCAACCCAGGAGAAGCCTCCTCTCAGGAACCAAGAGTTCAGACTTCCTGGCCACCACCATGGTTACAGAACAACGCTGCCCCTCTCTCCTATGCAAGCCCAACCCATCCTTAGGAGAGGCAAAAAACCCCCACAAAAGGCATGAATCCAGGAATCCCAGACTTAGCTCTCCCAACATAAACAGACCCCTTACCAGGGACTGTCTCCTACAAGATATTCCCCTTCCACTATAAGCCTCCCCTACACCCTGCTGCCCACTGGCCCCATGGAAACCGAGGTCATTTTATTTATTTATTTATTTATTTTGTCTTTTGTCTTTTTCCATGTCCGGCAACGGATCGCAACCCTCAGTGTTGCCCCCGTACCGGACCGGGGACCGGCAACGGGATCGCAACCCTCGGTGTTGCCCCCGCGCCTCGCTCAGCCAGTGAGCGGGAACCGGTCTGTATGTGGGATCCAAACCCTCGGGCGGGAGCGCCGCCGCGCTTCCCAAGCGGCGCACCTATCCAGTGCGCCACCGGGCCGGCCCCCGAGGTCATTTTAAAAGTCAGGGCTGACCGGTTTCTCAGTTGGTTAGAGCGCAGCCTCTGTACCCGCCAGCCTCCAAAAAAAAGCCACTCAGCAGCTACCATCCCCTTATACTTCCAATACTTCCTTCACACCCATGGAAACTGAGTCTCAGAAGTTTTGCCCACTGCCCTCTTTTCTACTTCCTTATCCACTCCTCTTCGCCATGGTAACAGCAACAGACTTAAAACTCCCCGCCCCCCGCCCCCCAGCAACTCTCTCTCTCTCGCCCTTCCCCCATCTTAACCGAGGTCACCACGGGAACTGAGGCTTCTGGTGCAGCTCGACCCCCAAGTTCAGGTCTCATTACTTCTTCGTTCAGATATTTTTCCAGCAGGTGCTAGGCCTGGTCTCTCGTTCATTCACTTTCATTCATTCAAACATTCAAGTGACAACTTACTGAGCACCCACACTGAGACATGCCCTATATGAGGTGCTGGAAATATGAAAATAGCCTAAACGGTCCCATGACAAGATCTCAACCTCTGGGCCCCAACCCTTTTCCTCTCCCCACTGACACTCTCTTGGTTCTCAACATTGTCTTTTCCCTTGAAGGCTCAGTAAGCAACTTCACGCTCTCAAGCACCCAGGACAGGTCCTGCCTGTGCTGCTGCCTTGGAACTCAGGTGTCATCCGCACCACCAACAATCCAAGGCTCCCAAATGGCCCGGAGACCAAGATATTACACCCCTCAGCAGACATGGGGGCAAGGAAGTGCAGAACTCGCCGTTGACTGCGCCTAGAGGATTCCGGGATTGGAGTTCCTATAGCATGACGGGTTCACAGCTGAGATTCCTATATCCCGGCCCCTTCTTTTTCCACTCGCTCAGACCCAGAGGCTCGGGCATCCAGCTCCCTCCTCCCCTCAGATCCAGAAATCCAGCCCCCAGCCTCCCTCTGACTCGGACCCACGTGTCCTAGCTCCTAATCCCGTCCTCCCGCAGACCCAGGAGTCCGGACCCCCATATCCTCCCTCCCGCAGACCCAGGAGTCTGTGCCCCCAGTCCCTCCTCTCTCAGCCTTGAGAGTGCGGGCTCGCTCCGCCGTGCTCCCCGCGCTGACACTTACCACGGTTGCCATGATGCACACCAACCGCCAATGCGCCAGCGGAAACGGAAACGCTCTGCGAGAGAGGCGCTCTGGCCTCTCTAGGCTAGCAAGTCCTCCAAATATATCGCTGCTTCCTCACAAATACGTAAACTCTCCTGGTGAGGGCGCGGCGGCACCTCTTAGGTCCCGCCCATCCGCCGAGATTGGGCCGGAAGGCGGGTGTCCCCAACTCCTGGGTCTGTTCCCAACGCCTCCTGGCTCCTCCTCTTTTCACCCAGCGCTCCCCCTTGCTAAGTCCGATTGCAAAATTCTTAGCACTTCTTTGAGCAACCACACGTCCTCCACGATCCTTTCCTGTTTATCCCACCCTCTTCTTCCTCCCCACTTTGGGGCCTCCAGCTTCTGATTGACAGAGCTGAAGGCCAATCGCTTCTGTTCAGACTACAGACAAGCCCCGCCCCCTTGGGTTCGCGTCGACCGCCAAGGCGGAGGCGGGACACAGCAAACATGACCATCTGCACCACTGAGGAAACGCGAAAGCCTCCGCCCCCTGACGCGGCCCAATGGCCTGGGCTGGCGGGCGGGCACCGACTCCTGGTGGCTCAAGGTTTCACTGCAGGGGAGCTACTGGGCTCAGTGACGCTACGGCCGCCTCCTACCTAGGTCCGAACACTCCCTGGTGGGGGTGCGGTCGTGCAATAGGAAGCCTAGAGCGTTGCAAGCTTCCTGTCCGGCACCAGCTACCCAGCCCCGCACCCTGCCTGGTGCATTCCCCGGACACCGCCAGGGTCCCCTCCTGAAGTTCCCGGAGCCCCTTTCGCGTGCCAGCCATGCCTCTAAGCCGCACTTTGTCCATGTCCTCACTGCCAGGACTGGAGGAGTGGGAGGATGAGTTCGACCTGGAGAACACAGTGCTCTTCGAGGTGGCCTGGGAGGTAGCCAACAAGGGTGAGCACGCCAGGCGTCGGGGTCCTTGACGAGAGGGGCATTCGGGGATGGGGTCCCGGAACTCTGAGTCGTAGGGGAACGGAGCTACATGGGAGAATCTTGGGTCCTGGGTAAGGAGACTATGACTCCTGTGCCCTTGAGGAGGGGCTGGAGTGTGTCTTTTGGGCCTTGGGGGGAAGGGATGAGTTGCTTACCTTAAGATGAAAGGAGGCTGGAAGCCCAAGTCCTGGGTCCTAGGGGAGAGGGTGCTAAAATGAAAGGTTCCTAGGTCCTGAAGGGAGGCTTCCGAGAGACCAGAGATCTGAGTCCTGAATAGGGAAGGGGATTGGGGAATGGGACTTATGTGTGCAAACCTGGGAAACTGCTGAGGTTTCAGACCTGTGGTCCCAGGGGAAGTGTTCTAGGGGATGTAACTCTGCATTTGGGAGAGAGCCAACTGGGAGATAGGATGAGTCATGAGTGGGAGGATCTAGGGACCTGACCATTCGAGGGTGCTGGAGACCCTAATTCTTAGTTCCTAGGGTGGAGGAGAGTTGGGGGCCCAAATGCCTAGGCTTTGAAGGAGCTGAGGGCTGAGCAATCGGTTCCTAGGAGTAGAGGAGCCTGTGGCCTGAGACACAAGCATACTGGAATAGGGGAAGGATGGGAAGTCCTAAGTTGGTCAGGGGCTGGGCTCTAGGATGGGAGTGGCTGGGAGCCTGCATTTCTGTGTCCTGGGCTTTGAAGAGCCTGAGGTTCTGGCTTTGGAGAAGGCTGGGGCTGGAATCCCCAGGAGCTAGGCAGTCTCACTCCATAGAAGAGCAGGGACTGGGGATTTGCTTTCCTGGGTTTTCTAGGGAGAAATGTACTGGGTCTCACAGCATGAGAGAGGGTCTTCAAACATGAAGCCATGTATTGCTAGGGCCCAGGCTCCAGAAGGTGAGGAGGTTGGGGGCCCAGACTCCTGGGTCTGGAATGGGGTCTTGGGATGGGCAGGACCCCACACGCCTGTGTCCCTAGGAGAGGAGAGTCCCTGGGAGATGGGGAATGATGATTCAGGCTTCTTTTGGGCAACTGTGAGAAGCTGAATAGGGCTGTGAAGAAGGATTCTCCACCACCATGTCCTGGAGGCTGACTGAGAATTTAAACCCAGCCCCTTTAAGCTGGGAACTTGGAATCTGGGTTCTGGTAATCCGCAGCTTTTGCTATCTTTGGGGACCCAGCCCCTCATTCCCTCAGACCCAGGAACCCAGGTCCCCAGCCTCTTCCTCTCTTAGACCCAGAAGTCTAGCCTGAGCCCCCTCCATGCTCAGAGTCCTGATCCCAGTCCCCTTCTTCCTTAGACCCAGTAGCAATGCCTTCCAGCCCATTTTCCTCCTTGACCCAAACCTCTAAACCTCTACTCCACAATATAGGCTCCCAGTCCCCTCTTGGCCCTTAGCCAGGAGTCTGGGGCCTCAGCACCCCCCACATCACCTGCCCAACCCCAGGTCCCAGCCTTGTGGCTCTCAGCCAGGGCCTGTCCTCATACACTTGGGCCCACAGTGGGTGGCATCTACACGGTGCTGCAGACAAAAGCGAAGGTGACAGGGGATGAATGGGGCGACAACTACTATCTGGTGGGACCATACACGGAGCAGGGCGTGAGGACCCAGGTGGAACTGCTCGATCCCCCGACGCCAGCCCTGAAGAGGACACTGGACTCCATGAACAGCAAGGGCTGCAAGGTGGGACATGGCCTGACCTGGGGCAGGGGGGCAAATGGCTCACTGTCAGGGTGGAAGCAGCAACTAGAGAAGGGGTAGAGGGTGGACAGCCCCAGGGAGTGAAGAAGGCATGGACAGACACAACATGGCACTTTCCTGGGTAGACACGAAGGAGGGAAGAGTGATAAGGCACTCAGACAGGTGCAGGGCCCCAGGAAGTAGGCAGGTGGATCCCAGATGTTGGTGAATAGACAGACAGATGGTGGGTACAAGATGACTGAGAAACGGATCCAAGAGGCCAAGATCCTCAGACCCAGAGAGAGAAAAAGAACTAGACAGAAAGATAGACAGCCAGACAGAGCCCAGGTGAGGTGGGCTTGGGGTCAGGCAAGCGAGCAGGAGCAGGATTCTGGAGCCTGAAGTTCAAATTCAGCCTCTCCACTTGCCGCCCCTAGGACCTTGCCTAATGAATATGGTAATAGCATCTACCTCATAAAGGTGTTGGGGGGATGAAATAGTTAATAAAAATCATGTCTTTTGCACTGTTCCTGGTGTGAAGTTAGCACTGTGTGAGCTCTTACTGTCATTATTATTATTACTATAAACAGCCAAGTTTGGAGAGTGAGGTGGACAGGCAGACAAAAGGAGAGGTATGGATGGAAAGAGACCCCAGGAGCTAGAGAAGTAGGGAGATAGGCAGATGCTAGGTAGAGAAGAGAGGTTGCCAGGTGTTTCAGAGAGAAAAACAGACCTAGAAGGAAAGAGAAAGATGGAATATCGATGAAGAACGGAGAGATGGGCACACAGACTGGGGGACAGAGTCTGAGATAGGCTGATCCGGAGATTAAAGAGAGGAGGGGAGAGTCCCAGGGCTCCAGGATGAAGACTGAAAGAGAAGCACTGCTGCCCAAGGAGAGGGCCTCAAGGCAGTAGCACTAAGTAAGGTACAGACGGGTCGATGCATGTGAGGGAGAGGTACAGTAGTTCTTCACTCATTCACAGCTCTTGGGTCGGGGTGGGGCCCAGAGTCCAGTCAGGCCAGACCATGTCCCTAAGGAACCTCAGGGCAGCCCATTCCCTCCCCGAGGGCAGCTGCTCCCCACGTGCTGGGGGCCTAAGAATAGCCCCCCCCCAGCAAAAGGGCAGACAACAGCTGGGAGGGGGAGGGGCTTCGGAGTCAGGCCTGGTTCAGGAAAAGCCAGGATGGGGAGGAGTATGACTCCTGTCTACTGCATAGAGCTGTGGCAGCAGGCCCAGAACCAAGGCCATGGTCTCAGGAGGAAAGCAGCCAACTGGAGAAATGTGGCAGGGGCAGAAACGAGACCGCAAGTCTCAGAAACGTGGCAATGGGTGGAAAAATGTTGCCCTGGAACAAGGAAAGAGAAAAGAAGCTGTGTTAGAAATGTGGCCACAGGGCTGGCCGGTTAGCTCAGTTGGTTAGAGCTCAGTGTTATACCACCAAGGTCAAGGGTTAGGATCCCTGTACTGTCCAGCTGCCAAAAAGAAAAAGAAATGTGACTGTGGACTAAATGGGCAGAGGAAAGAGGTTAGAGGTGACAAATATATGGTGAAAGGGACAGAAATCAGGCAGCAGAGAAAAGAAATATGGCAGCAAGAACAGTTAAAGAAGCATCCTCTGGAAGGAATTAGCAATAGAAAGAAAAGACAATGGGGAGAAGGAACATGATGGTTGGAAAGAGAAGTGTGGCAGCAGGTACGGAAACAAGGTGGCAGGTAGAAATGATTAGAAGAGCCACAAAACATTGGGGTCACAGAGAAAGGATATGCAAAATATGTGGTTATAAGTAGAGAAAGGAGGCAACAGGTGGGAGAAGGGTAACCGTTACAGAAACTAAGCAAGGGGCAGGGAAGTGTTGCAACAGAAATGGAAAAAGAGTGTGGGAATAACTCACAGCAATGAAGTAAGGCAGTGGGTGAGGAATTAGTGGCAGTATAGAAACAGGGTCCGACAACTGAGGCTTAAGCCCAGGCATCTGCCTGTAGATGGGAGACCTTCAAATGCTGGAGGAAGAAGTGTGGCCAAAGCCCTAAGCCTCGGTATGGGTCCCCCCAGGTTTATTTCGGGCGCTGGCTGATCGAGGGGGGGCCCCTGGTGGTGCTCCTGGATGTGGGGGCCTCAGCCTGGGCCCTGGAGCGCTGGAAAGGAGAGCTCTGGGATACCTGCAACATTGGAGTGCCCTGGTATGACCGCGAGGCCAACGATGCTGTCCTCTTCGGTTTCCTCACCACCTGGTTCCTGGGTGAGGTAGGCCCCACTCCCTGTGCCCATCTCACGCTTTTCCACCCGGGCTCGAACTACAATGACCATCAGTCCCTGGGGCAGAGGATGGCCTTCTCCCAGGGAATTCTGGGAGTTATAGGTCCTTTAATGCAAAGATTAACTCTGACCTTTGGGGACATGGA